GAGGGGGGCCCGCACCTGTGGAGATGGCTGGTGGGGTGAGGGGTTGTCCCCCCCCCAGCATCTTACAGGTTTTTTAGGGCCAAATTATAGGAGGTTTTTAAGTCATTTTTATATATGTTTTTTAACTATTTATAGATTATGTCCCTGTTTGGAGAGTCCTGTGTCTTTTCTTTTTTATTATTGGGGGCCACCCAGAGTCACCCATTAGGGGAGATGGGCGGCATACAAATTTGAAAATAAATAAATAAAAAATAAATAGCCGCCTCCCTGTCCTCCACGCCAGAACGGATTAATGGTAATTACATTGAACCTTATGGGGAAATTTCCTTTGGGTTGCAACCAATTCGGGGTGTGACCAGAGTCACAGAACGAATTAAGTTCGCAAACCGAGGTTCCACTGTATATGTTATATTAACTGTATGAATGCTATTAATACCGTATATGTATTTTTTTTTCTGTAAACAGCAGCTGTATATAAATCTGAGCAGCCACCAAACTAAGAATGTGAAGGGGTATCCCCAACTTCTGCAGGCATCAGTTGGAGCTTCTCTTGAAATGCAAATAGATGTCTGAGGAAGGAAGATATCTAGGGACTGAGACAGGGGAGAGTTAAACCTGTTTTGTATGTCCCTATAAATCTCAGGCTATTCTGATTTCATTTTTTATCTGTTAATATTAAATATAGCTTGTTCTTGATTGCAGTCCATTGGAGACAGTGATTCAAGGCTGGATTAAGGCCAACTGATGCCCTAAGCACAGCCCAACAATGGTGCCCCTTAACGGAAGCAAAACGGAAACAAATGTGATTATTGACAAAAAAAACTTTTAAACTTTAGTCTCTCAGCATACCAATGAAAACTTTTTTTTAACAATGCATATTACAGTATAGTTGAACACAGCAGATAAGGACAATTAGAAAAATATTGATTAAAATTGATTGTGGCAATAAAAGAGTTCAGGGCATGAGAGCAAGGGGAAAAAAAACCTCTGTGGTGCCCCCTTCCCTTGGTGCCCTAAGCACCTGCTTATTTTGCTGAATGGTTAATCCAGGGCTGCAGTGATTAAACCGTGTGGTGAAACTGATGCATTCCATCCTGAATCCAACTCTGAAGAAATCGTTTAAATATATTGCCTCAGTGTCTACAACTTAAGAGTCAATGATAAAGTTTAGATAGCAAAGACCCTGACATAAAACATTTTAAGAGCCTCATCAAATATCCAATATTTTCCAAGATGAACTAACCTATAGAGTTAATAATGAAATAGGAATAAAATTCAGAAAAACTTAGTTTAGCTTAGGGAATAGTTACACCTCAGTGTGTAACTCTTACATCTATGGTGATTATCTGATTAATTTTGGCTGCATAACTAGGTCTGGAACAAATTGTAGACTTTACTGCACATAGACTGTAAATACACTGTTGAACATTGCTTCATACCAACATGGCCAACTTGTCCCCAAGTTCATTTCTATGACATTCAAGGTCCCCTTCTGATCATGACTGCTCAAAACCTACACCACAATTCCCTGCCACTTTCAGTTGTAGAACACATGAAAATTACAGGGTAAACCCTGAAGCAGGCATATGTTGGTGAACAAGTGATTTAAGCATACTGTAAAACCTGGAAAACTTCCCCCATAAGAAAACTTCCCCCATAAGATAGTTGAGGCCAATGAGGCCTCATCTATTCTCTCAGTCTTCCGGATGTTAAGGACCTACCCTTGTTCTTCACAAGCTTCTGATTTCCTGAGGACAAAAAACCATGCTGTTCATTAATGGTTAAGTTTTATTTCATCTCTGCCAGCAACTTAAAACATTTGTGATGACTTTGTTACTTCCCTAGCCAAAAGACCACAGGAAAGTTTAAATCTAGAATTTCTGGTAAGGATATTCAGTTGGAAGAAGCTTGGTTTTCTATGCTACTTTGTCAGCTGTGAAAAGAGTCCTCTCTTTTCCCCAATTAATTCACAATTTTAGCTGCCTCAGGTGAAGGTACAGTTCTCCTTCTGTCTACCTAATTAAGGATCCTGTTTATTTCATTTGTCCCCTCAATTCTACTTCCCATCCCTGTTGTGTCCACCCTTAGAGATGGACTGCTCCATGGCAGTCTTTCATGTGTTCATTCATAAATTCATTCATTAACAAGATTTTAAAAATATACAGAAAAATTGTGTTGAAACTGTTCTATGATGACTTAAGTTGGAGATGCTGGGCCATTTCAAACAGAGAGGCTCCCATTTCTATGGGTAAATTGCAGCTTGATCATATCCAAGTTGACTTGGAAACAAATCAAATGGTGAATTTCCAATTCTGTTTGTGTAGGATTGCAGCCTGTAAAAATCTGTTACTCTTTTCCTTACTGCTTTGACTGAAGAGAATGACTCTTTCCTTTGACCTTTCATTTCCTATTCATAATGCTGACTAATATTTAAATGAAAAACATTGGTGCTAACTTGTAGTCATTATATCCATTTATGTAGACTGTACACTCATTCCATACATTTATGTAGTCATATTGTATTGATTTCATGTTGTAAATTTCTGTTCTTTTAAGTTACTTTTTGACACTTGGATGCATAGCAAATTAAAAAAAAAAAAAACTGTTTCAAACTGCTTAAGAATCCAGAGGATTTCCATAGCATGGTGGTTTTCCATCTTTGTAAAGCAAAGATCAGGATGTGCATATTATTTTATTGTTTAGCATGCTGGGCTGGGCTGGGGTCCTAGTGTGTGCTTAAGAGATTTGTTCTCTGCACTGGTCTCAATCTGGATCAGAGGCCCTGCTCTTCCATTTGCCTAGAGAGAAAGCCTCTATTTGTTTTATATATGATGGGGAGAAAATCCTGGCAGCTCAAAAACTCTAGACTACAGACATAGTTTTTGATATGTGGGGATTTTGTAAGCATCATTTTATAAATATACACCTTGATTGCAGAAAAAACATAGCTATTGCCAGTCCCCAAACAGTTCAAACGTGTTGGTCCATTCTGTGTGGTCAAGAATGTTGTTGTTATTTATGGTAGGTAATTCAGACAGAATTCCTCATTTAATGAACTTGAATAATTTGCATTTACTCCAGCTCTTTCTTGTTTTAAACTGAGAAGGGTGTTTGCAAACTGTATAGGTAGTCCTTCCTTAGCAACCACAATTGAGACTTGCAACATTGCCACTAAGTGCTGTAGTCACTGAGCAGAAAATGATGTGATTGCAACGGACTTAAGACATCACTTCCCATTTGGTCATTAAGCGAATCACCATGTCATTAAGCAAGGCATCATGTGACTGTGACTTACAATTTTACTTCTGTCTTCTCCATTAACTCTGCTTGTTGGAAGCCAGTTGGGAAGCATGCAGATGGCAATTATGTGACCATGTGATGCTGCAACAGTGGTAAAGGCACACTGGTTGCAAAGCACCCGAATGACAATCATGTGACCATGGGATGCTACAGTGGTCATAAATGAAAGGATTGGTCGCAAAGTTGTTTATTTACACCATTATAACTTGAATGGTCACTAAACAAGGCAGTCAGCAAGCAAGGACTACGTGTATGTGAAATTGCTGCATGGATTCTTAGAATCTCTTCAAAGAGTGTATTTATTAATAACATTGCGAGAGTAATCAAAAAAATTTTCGTTTTAAAATTTGTTTATATATTCACCATTGTAATAGTTGTTATAAATAATGTATTTATATGCCACCTATAGCATTCAGATACATGTGAGTTTATTATACAATGTCATCTAGGGATCACCAGTCCCACTGAATATTTAATTTATGGGCTTGGTTGATTTCCAATGCATTATTTAGATAAATGACAAATTGCTTGAATATGTCTTTAATTTGGAACATACCCCTAGAAATAATGCAAATGTTATGCTGCAACTCCTGTCTGACAAAATATTTTGTTAACAAAATGGGTAACTTGCTTATACAAACTTTCCAGTCAAAGTGTATAACTAGCTTGAAGGATGATAATGTTTATTAATCCAAAGGATGCAGCTATAATACTAATCTGGCATAGAAACTTTTACAAAAACAGGAAATTCTGCAAAACATTTAGAGTGAGTAGAATTTTCTCCTTTATTTAACTCTGTTTGTTTGGCTTTCTAAATCATATATATTTATTAAATCACATATTATTACTATACGTTTTACTTAAGCTTGCTCTGCATTTGTTTATATATTCAACATTGTAATAGTTGATATAAATAATGTATTTATATGTCACCTATAGCATTCAGATACATGTGAGTTTATTATACAATGTCATCCAGGGATCACCAGTCCCACTGAATATTTAAGTTATAGGCTTGGTTGATTTCCAATGCAATATTTAGATAAAATATTATATTAAATATTAAAAGGATAACTCTCACTTTCATATTTATTCTATTTCTGGAATCATAGAAATCAAATTAAATGAGAATGGCATATTTAGAATCTCTATTCTAAATATCTGTTGAAAACCAAATACAATTTATGTGTGATTATAGTTTGAACAATAAATGGAAGCTAATATTTGCTTTGTTATCAAAATAGTTTCCCAAAGCATTTTCATCTGTGTTCTATTATTTTAATATATTTTTATTTTGAAGTTGACATGTGTTTGTGGACTTTTCTGCCTCAATCCATAAGTTTCTTTACCATGAAGTTTGGCACAATGCATTATGATAGCATGCAGTTTAATATCTATGATTTTACTAGGTGCTTTTTAATATAATTTATATGTGTTTATGTATTTATTTGTTTTTTATTTATTTGTCAAATCTATTTGTCAAATTTATATGGCTGCCAATCTCAAATGAAGTGACTCTGGGTGGGGTACAATAAAGCCTACTATATTACAAAACCAATTAAAAACAAAATAGTAAACATAGATAAAAACCAAACCACAAGCAGGAGAATCTCACACATAATATGGTTAATGTTGCAATCTTATCTACACCAAGTCTTTTATCATGTTAAATTATTTTGAATTGTGTTTTATATCTTTCAGGGCATACAGGGCGGTTATTAAAATCCTTGTGTTTCATGAGTTTAACATTTCTGCTTGTGCACATCATATTTCAAATCACAATAACCAGCCTTGAATCTGCAAAAACTATTCAACCTAACTATAACTGTGAGTATAATTCTTTTTAATCTTCTAGCATTTTGCATAGCTTATGTGGGAAATATACTGGAATGTGAATGTGTGAATCAATTTAAATCTATATGGTTTTATTTTCCAGATTAGTAAAGAAGTGTTTTGGTCTGTCAGTTTTAATTTTAAAAATATGTTTTTTTAAAATGAGTCTCTTTTCCTCTTTTTCTGTACTATTTCCCCTAATCTATATAATTTTAAATATAAATCTGTCCAAAAGAAAATTTAATGCAAATTTTCCTTTGTGTCATCCTGCCTTACAAGGTCTCTCCCTAATATCAATATATGTATAATCCCAATATACCCTTTCTTTGCATCTTTCAAATATATATTTTTTACTCAAGTGCATATTTCACAAATGTGTTTTTGTGGATTTTGGACTGGAGAAAGGCAGATGCTTATGGATTCTGTTCAGTGCTGCTGTTTTTTCTACAATAGAATCCATTTCCATTGATATGATAAACCTCTCATAATATTCTCTGCAGATTTATTTTAGATACCTATGTAATTATAACTATCATTATAAAATCATGGTTTTATCATTAGAGATTTTTTAGGGTGAGTGTATTAATATATTGTTTGAAAAAATCACTCAAAATCTGTTTCTGCCTCATCCATAATTTCATATAGAGATGTCTATATTAACATGCATGTAGCCCATGGAGCAACATCTCAAAGCAGCAGGTCCTATTTAACCTCCAAATCTTGTAATATATAGGAATCTTAAGATATTTGGGGGATCGTACAGGTATCATCTGGAGGTGTTTTAGCAGACATGTCACAGGATACTTTTATGAAAGTCAAGGTAGCAATGCACATAAAAAACAGGCAGACAATTGTGGCTGCCATCTTCACTTTTTTTTTTTTTACCACACCCTACAGATATTCATGTGTTTTAGACAATGCAGATGCCATGTTACCAGCCTCTGACATTGTGGAAAATTGGTGCCACAACTCCCAGCTAAAATTATACACAATCCGAGTTTGACTTAATTCCAGCTGTGGCAGTATGGCTAAATTTTAGTACAATTTCCCATACAAAAGAGAATCTGCAAAATTTTATTCAATTTATGCAGGTTTCTTATTAATGTTCACAGTGAAATATTAACCATGCCAGTAATCTTACACTTGTGCAATACTTTGCTTATCAATCCAGAATTTACAAAGATGGCAACCAGAAAGTCAGAGGAGAAAATGTTAAGAGAAGAGCAATTTCAGTAAGTGTCTAGCTTACAAAAAGACTAAGTCAAAATTAATTATGGAGAAAAGGCAGACTGCTGAAACAAGAAATCTCACACATTTTATTAATGTTTTGGAAAGGAATGGCCTTTGTTGTTATGGGGCTAAGTAACTTTGGACCATCCCTAGGAATTTCATGAAGTTAGCTAAGTAAATGTTAGATGGATCATTATATTTCCTAATATGTAAATTGTGCTATCCAGTTAATGAATATAACAAGTACCATTCAGTAGTATCATAACCCACAAAACTATCTTCACATTGCGATTCGCCCAGTCATAACAATATTTAAAAAATATATTGATTGTCCAGCAGTGGGCAGTATGCAGTTTTCAAAGCTAGTCCAAGGATTGGCAATTGCAGCCCCTTTTTATCACTCTTGGACCCCATCAGGTCATCACTCAACAAACCAATCTGAAGAAAGAAACAGAAATACTATATTACAAGTCCTAACAATAGACATACTACAATTAAAAAATAAAGAAACCTCACCAAGTTCCCTCTGAAACTACAACCCCACGTACATGTATGAAATGACTTCACTCAATTTATAGCCTAAGTGCAATCCTTGATCATCCAAAGTTTATCCATCCCTGAGTCCTACTGTAACTCATGAAAAACCTATGTAAAGGCCAAAACTGTTTTAAAATAATTGGAGGAAGGGAGAAAGAAAAGAAATACTTTTAAAAGGAAGAGATGTTTCTGATTCCTGTCAGTCTTTCACTTCTAGAAATCAGTCTTCTGAATGTGTATCCTGTCTGCAAAGATAAACACTCTTCAGACCTATTAAAGAAAAGTATATATTAAAGCTCTTCTTAGTTTGCATGTAGCATGGACAGACAACTGGTGGCACAAAGCTACATGTAGCGTCCAAATTCCATTTTTGGTGGTAAGAAATAACCAATACAATTTCGTTATGATTTTTCATGGAAAATAAAGCAGTTATGCATAAGCCATCAGGTATGCTTAACACTCTTAAATAATAAATCAGACATTCAGATATAAATACAGGCACAAAATGTTTTTGACTTCTAAGATTTAATACTAGAGTGCACAAAGAATATACACTGGAAAAAGAGAAGAAAATAGCAAGTGTAGGAATTAATTTAAACAGTATGTCCTGCTAACTGTCCTCCAGCAGTGGTCTTGACCAGAAACTTTAATTTAGGAAATAGGTGGGAATGTTTTATACATTTGCTGAATTTTGAAATATTCAACAAGAATGCAAATGGGCTTTATCAGTTGCAGAGTTTACAGTCTAAATATGAATTTCTCATAAAACATTTTTATTCTATAAAACATATTTACTATATAAAACTAAACTTAACCATATTTATTTATTTATTCTATTTATAACCTGCAAAAATCCAAGCAACTCAAGGCAATATACAAAAGTTTAAAAATAAGTCATAAAAAACCAAACAGGCAAGTTCAAACATTAACCTGCCCGGGCCTGCTGGAAGAATCTGTTTTTAAAGCCTTTCTAAAAGACATCAGAGTTGGGGCTGTGTGGACTTTGGGGCAAATGCTTTTCCATAGGATGGGAGCAGTGATAGAGAAAGTATACACCTCAAGTCCCATAAGACCATGCTGGTTTGTTGGGACCTGGAACATGCCAATCCCACCAGATTTTATTGGATGGACAGAAATAACTAGAGAAAAGTTGTCTTGTAAATATCCAGGCTACAAGTCATGAAGAGCTTTTATAAGTGACAGCCAGCATCTGGAATTGTACTCAAAAGCTGATGGGTAAGCAGTGTAGTTCACAAAATAGAGGTATCACTTAGGTGAACTGAGGTGCACCCATACCTATTTGCATTGCCGTGCTCTGGATGAGCTGTAGTTTCTGAGTGATCTTCAAGGGCACATATCCTTCCAGATTCCTGTCTGTCAATCCAAAAAAATTGGGGATAACAACAATCAAACGGGAAGGGTAAGAAAATAACGGAAATCAAAGGAAAATTGATTTTATTAGTGTATGCAATATGTTTTAATATATCTGCATTCAAGACTTGTTCTCTGTCACCCCAGAGGGCACGACACAGATTAATAAATTTAATTTATAGGAAGGGCATGTATTAGGAAAAATGCCTTAACATTAGGAGCAGGATATCAATGCATAGTCTTCCCTTCTCTGAACATATTCAAGCAGTTGTTTATTGGGAATGCTTTAATTTCAACTCCTGTACTGAGCAGGTCACTGGACATTTAGAATAGCCTCTCTGATTCTAGTTCTCACATAATGCTGCTGAAGATGAAAATGATTTTAGTTGCATCTTAATCAACAAGCCCAAAGCACCAGAAGACAGGGTTTTCCCCCCCTGGACTTAAGGCATTAGATGTTTACAATTCCTTTGAGATTTATTCTGGGAAGTGGTTCAATTACGATGATACGTATAGTTGCAAAATTTGAATTGATTGGCTTGCCAAAGTGTAATGAGTACTTCTTCTGAACACTGAATTGAAAAGGTGGGCAATGTTCTTTGCAGCATTTTTATCTAACTTGAGAGCTGAATAATCAGATGTGAAAATTTAGAGAGTTAAGTTAAATGAGGCTTTTAAATTATTTCAGATTTTGTTAAGCATGAGAATGTTATATGGAAGTGGCCCAGATAGACCTGTGCATTGTTTCTGGACATAATCTGTGACTGTGTTGAGAAAACCAGGGAGATTGAATACATGTTGACAATAAGTATGTAACTTCCAAAACTTTCTCCTAGCATACCAAAGGCAGATTTGCAATCATGTTGGCTAAATCTTTCTTAATTGATGTAAGGTCATCCTATTTTTACTTCTGTTAGTTGATTTCAAGTGGGAACTAGAATGTCTGTGAAAGTTTTATGTTTCTAGAAATTTGTGGCAATCTTTCTAGTTGTACTAATTTTTATATTCAAATTTTGGTTATAACAACTTTGGCAATAAAGATTATTGTATTTGAAAATCCTCTTGTGTTTCAAATTAAGTTGCACCATTATATCACTATATCCAGCTTTTAAAAACGTCTGAGGAAACAGATACTTCTAAAAATGCTTTTTAAGCATATATCAAAGGTTCGGTTTAATTTCCTGCCAATTATTACATCATAATAGTTCAGAAGGGAGTATTCATTGTATTTCTACTCTTGTAATAATAATGGCCTTTTTTCATGACCCATTAATTACCGAGTAGTGCGTAGGATTTTTCCTGTAACTATTATTCTGTCCATGTTGCTAGTATTTTAAATTCCTTCTCTAGAAAATACTTTACTTTTCTTGTGGGTTGGGTTACATTATTTTCTGCAGTCTGTGGTCATTTATAGGCATAGTTTATAGTTTATATTATAAAATGTCATCCCTGTTTTAAAAGAATTTCTGTTTCCATATATAATATAAGCTGTACAGAAGAATTGTATGTGCAGTCTCTGTTTTCCTATAGCAGTACTGTAGGAGGCAAAATATTTTTTAAAAACTGATTTGTGGTTCAACTCAGTGATATCCACCAAGGAGGGTAAAAACAGGCAAGATGGCAACTGTGGAGCGCAATTAAAGCCTGCCCCTTTGAATGTTTATACAATGTTTATTTATTTACTTAGAGCACTTATATGGCCCCTCAATTCAAACAAGGTAATCTGGGCAGTGTATAAAAATAATCAACAACAAATGTAAAATGCCAAAAAAAAGGGGGGGGGCGGAGGAAGACATGGCATTAAAAAACAACTAAAATAATAACATGACAACCAGAACTAAAATATACCGTAAGTC